AGTACCAATGCACTGTCCTGTGGTATCTTTTGCAATATATTGGAATATATCTATTCAGTTTATATTTTTGTAGATGTATATCTCTGGCTTTTTTGCATTATGGTACACGGTGGTACTTGTTTATACTTTACAATGTGTATTTCAAATTGTACATGTTAGCAATTATCTCAATTTATGAACCATGAGTAAATTGACTAAGTATATGTATTAAGAATATGCTGAATATTACTATTATCACATTTTGTGAATAATTATTATACTCATATGTTCTGTTTAATAATCATGTATGTAATATGCTCAAAGGGGCCCCGATTTGGAATAATAAATAAATAATAATAATATTTCAAAGATCGATAAGCCCCCCCCCCCCCCCCCCGGCGCACACATACCAAACAGAAATCAAATATTTCTTTAAAAACACTGGACAGAAAATCCTGATTTATATAAATTTCAAACTATTCCGAAATTTAATTGTCTATCATTATTTTTTTTTACTGTAACAGATAGAAATGACGTAAGCTGCATATTTCCAATTTTGCCCGTTAATATTCCACGGTCTTAACGTTCCGTGTGCGTGAATGTGTACATGCGATGTATGTACATTTAAAGAAAATCATTTTTTATGCCCCCGTATCGAAGATTCGGGGGTATATAGTTTTTGCCCTGTCCGTCCGTCTGTCTGTTTATCTGTTTGTCCGCAAAAACTTTAACATTGCTCATAACGCTTGATTGGTTGGAGCTATAGCTTTCATATTTCACATGTGTATTCCTTGTGAGAAGACCTTCCTTTGGGCACCATCATATTTGACTTTGACCTTGGAGTTTGACCCAGATATATATAATTTTACCCAACTTTAACCTGGGCCATAACTTTTGAACAGGGTGTGCTAGGGCTTTCATGATTCACACGTGTAATCCATGTGACAAGACCTTCCTTTGGATAACAACGACTTTGACCTTTTGACCTTGACCTAGGAGTTTGACCTACTTTTGAAAAACTTTAACCTTGGCGATAACTTTAGAACTGTTGGTGCTAGGGCTTTCATACATCACATATGTAATTCTTGTGCCAAGATATTTCTTTTGATATCAACAACTGTGACCCTTTGACCTTAACCTTACAGTTTGACCTACTTTTGGAAAACTTTAACCTTAGCCATTTTTGAAGAGTTGGTCCTAGGGCTTTCTTTTTTTTCTTACAAGTGTATTACTTGTGACAATACCTTCCTTCAAATATCAACAATTATAGCCCATAGACCTTGGAGTTTGATGTACTTTTGGAAAACTCTAACCTTGGTCATTACTTTTGAGCAGTTGGTGCTAGGATTTTCATACTTCACATATGTAATCCTTGTGCCAAGACCTTATTTGGATATGACCATTTGATCTTGTCCTTGGAGTTTGGCATACTTTTGATAAACTTTAACCTTGGCAATATTTTTTGAACGGTTGGTGCTAGGGCTTTACTATTTCACATGTGTATTTCTTGTGAGAAGGCCTTTCTTTGGGCACCAATAATTTTGACCATTTGACCTTGACCTTGATGTTTGACTTACTTTTGAAAACCTTTTTCATATCTTTTCAATGGTTGCTGCTAGGACTTTCATATTTCACAGGTAAATTCCTCGGGTCTTGCTCACAGGTATATTCCTCGGGAAAAGACCTTACTTTGGGTTCAAACATATTTGATTTGCATTTGAGAAAGTTTAATTTTCGCTATAAGTTGCCATATGGGGGCATTAGTGTTTCACAAACACATCTTGTTTACATCTTTATACCCCCATTTTTTGTCATTTAAAATACTCAACAGATGATGCTCAATTTCGCTATTCTAATTAAGTCCCCTGATTGCCATGATCCATTGTATAATTTAGGTTGTGTTCGTTAAATCGAAAATGGATAATCATAAGATTTGTCACTGCTTTATCACGAAACTATCTAAAGTATAAGAAATCTTAAGACAAGTCTTCAGACAAACTGCATGCTTCAATGTCACAAGGAAGTAAAAAAAAAATGTTTGCAAAAAGTTTAATTGTCAATATGTCTGTCTTTCATTTTCTTTAAACATTGAAATAATAGTGAGTCTTAAATAATTTCTTTTGCAGTTGTACTCTCAGAAAAAAAAACCAATTTATTGCATCAGCTTCAATTGAAAGGGGGGCTTATTTGAATAAATGTCAATGCAAAAACAAGGTGTGTTTGTGAAACACTGATTCCCCCTTATGGCAACTTATAGCAAAGGTTAAACTTTCTCAAATGCAAATCAAATATGTTGGTACCTAAAGTAAGGTCTTGTCTCGAGGAATAAACCTGTGAAATATGAAAGCCCTAGCAGCAACCATTGAATAAATAAGGAAAAGGTTAAAGATTTTTCAAAAGTACATCAAACATCAAGGTCAAGGTCAAATAGTCAAAATTAATGATCTTCTCCCAAGAAATACACAGGTGAAATATGAAAGCCGAAGCACCAATTGTTCAAAAGTTATGACCAAGGTTAAAGTTTTCCAAAAGTAAGTCAAACTCCAAGGTCAAGGTCAAAGGGTCAAAGTTGTTGGTATCCAAAGAAAGGTCTTCTCAAAAGGATTACATATGTGAAGTATATAATCCCTAGCACCAGCCGTTCAAAAGTTATGGCCAAGGTTAAAGTTTTCCAAAAGTAGGTCAAACTCCAAGGTCAAAGTCAAAGGTCAAGGTTGTTGGTATCCCAAAGAAGGGCCTGTCACAAGGATTACACATGTGAAACATGAAAGCCCTAGCACCTATGGCCAAGGTCAAAGTTTTCCAAAAGTAGGTCAAACTCCAAGGTCAAAGGGTCACAGTTGTTGTATCCAAAGGAAGGTCTTGTCCCAAGAATTACACAAGTGAAGTATGAAAGCCCTAGCACCAACCGTTCAAAAGTTATGGCCAAGGTTAAAGTTTTTCAAAAGTAGGTCAAACTCCAAGGTCAATGTCAAAAGTTGTTGGTATCCAAAGGAAGGTCTTGTCAAAAGGATTACACATGTGAAGTATGAAAGCCCCAGCACCAATTGTTCAAACGTTATGGCCAAGGTTAAAGTTTGGTAAAATTTGGCAAAACTGGGTCAAACTCCAAGGTTAAGGTCAAAAGGTCAAATATGGTGGTACCCAAAGAAAGGTCTTGTCACAAGGAATACACATGTGAAATATGAAAGCCATAGCTCCAACCAATCAAAAGTTATGGGCAAGGTTAATAAAAGTTTTTGCAGACAAACAGACAGACGGACGGACAGGGCAAAAACTATATACCCCCAAATCTTCGAAACGAGGGCATAATAAAAATAATGAATAAAATTTGCTTAAATGTCTTTTTGCTCAGAACAATATAGCTGCTAACAAAATGTATATGATACTACTTTTGATTAAATCCGCTACTACGTTTATGCCTTTGCAGATTTATTGAATGGTTTTCCAATAAATTCAGTTGAAACGCCAACTCATATTCAAAGTTCCGCGGTTCGTCCATAAAAATCTATCAAGGTGTCTCTGAAACACCGAACTACTGCAACAAAATAGCAGTGCTAACTACAAGAGCCTATAAGGATAAATCTATGAATAAAAAACGTATTAACGCGAAATGAAAAGGCGCTATAACGTCAATTAAGGCGTTATATAACGCCTTTTAATTTTTTTTTTTCAATAGATTGATCCTAAAAGGCTTTCTTAACTATCAGTCGAAATAGAGAAACGAAAGAACAATTTTCAATCATAATTTAACAGTTTAGCATCAAATGGTACAGCAGTATTTATATTGCGTTTTCCTAAACATTCCGGTGGATTATATGGATGTGTGTGTGTGTGTGGGGGGGGGGGGGGGGGGGGGTTACCTCAACAACTTAAATTATTTGCTTTTCATCTAATTATGTAAGACTGAAAGACGTGTTTAGTTTCTGAAAAAAAAATCACTACGGAGTAACAAAATAAATAAATGTATAAAACGTCTTAAAAATGCAGGGTGGCTACGCCAAAGTTCGATTTTGTTTACTTTCATGTGCGGGCCTTGTCCAGACCAAAAAATGCATATATTTCGTATTTTTATTAATTCAAAATGTATTTACTTTAAAACATATCAATATAATAAATCAACTGCATGCATGTATCTCGAATATTGTGACAGCCATTTTCAAAAATGCATAAGTAGTGATGCTTGGACATAGAAAATATGATGAATTCAAAATTTAATGATTTTGAATGAAGTTAAAAATGATATGATATCTGGTTCTTACATAGTACATGTACACATGGCAGAAAGGAGCAATTCTGGGGGCGAGGCAATTTCAGTTGGGAGGGGCACAAGCAAACAAAAATGCCTTGAAAAGAATAATGTGACACAACCATAAAGTACCTACATTTTATATTTTCTATTGTATAGTATTTATTGGCAAATTTATTAGGTGGAAAGGGAGAGGTGTCATTGTTCTGAGTGGCCTGATAATATAGCACAAAGGATTGTTCTATCTCTAAAAACCATTCTTTTTAAGAATCATTTTAAAAATCGTTTTGAGCCAAAATATATACCGTAGCCATGTTCACTTTATACTTTTAAAGACAGGTATCTAGTTGTCTTAAGATTAAGATAGGTCTTAAGATTATCATAAGATATGAGAGTTTTGTGAAACAGTTATGGTGCAATCTTAAGATAATTTTCGGTCTTAAGACAGATCTTAATCATAAAATAGTTTTGTGAAATGGACCCCAAATTCATGTATCTATAGTCAACACATCCAACTGTCTTTTCTCCAATTTGTCCATTACATACCAGAGAGCAAAACAAACTTTCAAAAGTTGTTGTTGTTGTTTTTTTTTTTTTTTTTTTTTTTAAATGTGGGCGTTACCATATACATTTACATCGGGATCGAAATGCAATGTTTTGAAAACACCATTTCAGGAACGTTTGGTTTTTTTTTTTTTTTTACAGGGACCTATAATAATGCTAAGAGTATACTATAGAAGAAGTTTGTTGTTGTAAAATTTGTAGTAGAAGTGTACCCCATCATGGCCCATGTAAACAATTGCCTCTCGGAAGTTGTTATACGCATGCTCTGAAGTTGAAACAATGGGTGGAAAGAGTACGACTGTTTTACTGACTGAGGTGACGTCCTAATTCCTAAAGGTATTGGTATTTAGTGTTTTTGATAAGTATACATTGAATTTTTTTGCAAGCGATTCGTTTCAAAGTGGTAAACTTTAAAAGTCTAATTTGAACTCGTTGTGATTCCTCAAGAAGCAACAGACTGATAGATATATATACAAAAGAGAACTCGGTGCAGTCCAATACGAGATCCCTCTGACTTTAACCCCTGCTTTTATCAGTTTATATTTTGACATGTGAATCTCCCCTGCACATGTCAAAATATAAAAGCAGGGGTTAGAGTCAGAGGAATCTCGGATTAGGTGCAGTCAAGATAGGTTATCAGTTGTTAACATAGTTAAGCGAGTTTGTTTCAGTTATATTATATACACTAATGGAAAAATAACTAGAGCGAGCTCGTTGCAAAGCAACGAATAGGTCTTCCGTTGGAGCTGCGGAAGGAAGAAGTGATCTTGAGTCAAGGTCATGCCACATTCTAAAGTTATACATGTAAGCAATCTTGTAAGGGGAAGCAACTTACAATAGTTCGCTAGGAAAAACTGTAAAGGAATGTACGTGACCTTGAACATTCCAAATGCCTTGCGTCAAACCATGACACATTCTCGTCATAAAACCCAATCTGTGTGTTACCGACTTGAAAAGTTCACAGTGACACGTCATGTTCTTTTAGTCCATACATACAGTCAAAACATCGTATCCTTAGTGACCTTGAACTTGAGTCAAGGCCATGTCACACTCTGCATGATACCAGCAATGTTTCACTAGTACAAATGCGGTAGCGAAATTACAGTTTCTCTGTCAGTGACCTTGACTTGACCAAATGACCTTGCATCAAGGCCATAACACACACTGGTTAAAAGCAATCCCAGTCTGTGAGTTTCTGAATGGATAAAATCAGCCATGTTTTTTTCAGATCATACAGCGAGTCGGAATAATTTGTTAGATTCAACATAATGATTAAAAAATTCATTGAGAATGTTTTATGCCCAGTTTGGATAAGTAGTAAAACGTGGAGATGGGTCCTTTGGATGAGACCGTATAAGGTCTCGTGTCGGGGTAAGTGCTAGCATGAAAAGGATCTCTCATGCTATAAATTTTGAATTTACCGGGTGGCAGTAAATACTGACAACCGGTAAGTTCAAAATTTACAACATGACAGATCCATGGCACTTGATTCTACCTCTGATTTCAAAAGATTTGCAGTGTTCCTGATTTGTATTGTTTGAATGGTCTTTTAAGTTTGAATGCTGCACAGGTGCTTGTGGACAGGACCCCCCCCCCCCCCCTAATATACACCCCGGGGTCCAAGAATATTTTTATTCGTCTTTTTCCATAAATTAATCTTCTAGTACACATTTATGTATTCCATATGAAAAATCCATAAAAATAACGAAGAATTAACGTTTTATTAAAAAATCATACCCGCGGTAATATGAAATAGAGAAGGTAAGTCACTTCCATTTGTTAACACTGGACCCCTCTTGGATATCGGGCCTAAAATATCATATACATGTACCTACCACATGTCACCAAAATATGTTATTATATCTTGTTTCGGTAGATATTTTTGTCTTTTATCGTGCTATTTAAACCGAAGACCTTAAATAGTGTCTGTGGCTGTCACTATTTCGGTGTTTTTCAGAAACTTGATCGTAGAATTAGTCAAAGTCCACAACTGGACAATAAACTGATAAATCGGCTACAGTATATTATCTGTTCACAGAAACGACATATTGAAACTGGGAAAAAAATAATCCAGAAGCAATTCATTTCATTAAAAATTCTATCATGAATATTTTGTTTTAATCGATGGACTCGATAAATCAATAAACTGACCGAAGGAAAAACTTTGCACGTGCCGTAACATTCTGTACGTTTTCTTTTTTTTAATTTTACATTCTACTTGCATAATACATGCACATGTACATGTACATATATATTAAACAGAAAGATAAATACCAAGCCCGACGGCATTTTAAAAAAAAGTAATAAAACATAATTTGATTTGATCTATTTTATTTCATTTAAACTCTATTACTTTGTTTTAAAAGTATGATTGATCTTTTTTCCTTTTAATAGACACTCAGGGTAAAAAAAAGAAGTAACTATATATTGACTCGCGTAACTTTCATGGTTGTAGTTACATTTGAAAATGAAGAAATAATGAAATAATGAAACGTTGAAGGAACTGGTGTGTTGTATGGCTAGACAACGCATTGCATATGCAGAGAAATTTACCACAGGTACTCTAGGACAGGTGTGAAACCCCTAGGGCATGCCGTATCCTGCTCTTGCTCTGCTAATCCCTATACACAGGAAATGATCGCGACTAATACTTAATACACAAAGAAACAGAATATATTCAAGTAAACTTGGCATCGATTTTTTTATTGAGTATTATTGAGAATAATAAGTTTTAGTGATACATGTATACCCCCCCCCCCCCCGTTTTAATTGTTTTGTGAAGTTCATCACCATGCACATTCCATCTTCAGTAATTGGAGAAATGTTTAAATTAAAAACAAACCACTGTTTACAAAAGAAGTAAATATCGAGGGAAAAAAATTGTTATATTTTATTGATATCTTTTATAACGTTCACGCGCCCACTCACTGCAAACGCTCACCATCGAATATTACAGCTTTCCGGTCATTCGAAAATTTCAGGGAAATGCTTGCACATTAATACAGTAAAGTGAAATTATTTAAATGAATTATATTGTTCTAAGTTTGGTAAAAAAAAAAAAAAACATGAACAGTATATAGATATATTTTTTTCCTCATAGGAATGCTGAAAACTGTTAATCGGAACTCGCACTGACTATTGTTTAGCACGTGTATGTAACATTGCAGTTCGCATATAATTTGAAAAGAGAAGTTATTAGAACTTATATTTCCGACATTAAAATTTGTCACGTTAAACTCTCAAATGACTCAGCTTATAAATAGTTTTCTTGATACTATTTAAAAAAAGATGTCGCTTTAGTATTGATATATAACTTAACAAAATTAATAATAATAAATAATTAAAAAAAACGATTAAATATATTCTGCTTTACAATTTTTTTTTTTTTTTTTTTTTTGTTCTTTCATTATTTTCACCTTTTGCGAAATAAAAGAAAATACTTTCATAAATATACATACACTGCGGGATTTTAATTTGTTTTTTTTAAGAGGGAATTTCTCAAAATTCCTGTTCGGGGAGATAACTCCCGTTTGTTTACGATACTAGTTGATCGATGATTTAACCGCGGCGGGGACAGGTAGGTGATGAATTTCCCGCGGAGGGAACGCGGTTTACCTGTCTCACCTGGCCAAATCCCGCGTTGTGTTTATACCGCGACGGGGCGCGGGAAATACGGGATCCGCGTTGCCTGTACTGTACATGTATAGTCAATCAGATTAGAAATACAGCGACTATCAGAATTTCGGGCCGCAAAAAAGATCTGATTTTGATTAGATTTCAGGTGTAGGCGAATGTGTATGTACTGAGGGGTTAGTTAATTCATTCAAGATTTATTATATTGTTCGTTTGGACGAAGGCTTCATAAAAATATACACACTGCTTGTACAGGTACACATCAATGAATGTTCGGATTAATTCAAAAATCGGCGGACATTAATTTATTTTAGTTATCTAAAGGCAATGTTATTTCCAGAGACATTTATATTTTCTGTTTTTTGTCTCGGATTTTTCTTTTTTGTGATTTACCAGTTTACAAAGGCCTGTGTTTTAACAGCTGTTCATAAACGCTGTCAATTAATATATGATAAGAGAAAACGAGACATCTCCCGGTAATTCATTTCTTATGGAAAATATAAGGATTGACATCTTAGTATTTACCTGTGTAATTACGATGTTACAAACCGTGTCGATGACTGGCCAGGAGGACTACCCGTTATGAAAACAACTCATGATCAACTCAGCGGACCTATAATTGACTTTAATATATGCTGTAAATCAATAAAATCATTTCAGTTTAACCGATATTTTATTGCAAAGATAATGGGGAAAAAAGACTTGGGATTTAGAATTTTTCTGAATTTCAAACGCTCGATATGCATATATTTTGGGCGCTCTTGCATATGCACTTAAAAAACGTGCATGTTCTGTACTTGCATGCGTGTACATTGTATGTATCCATAAAACCTTAAGAGAGCTGATAAATGTGTTCTGATTTTCAGAAAAAATAATGGGAACCTATAAATAATTACATGTTTATCATTTTGTTCGCATACAATAACAAGTTTAGTAGAAAAAATAATTTGTTCAAGATTAGGTGTCTAATAAATTTGTAATATTCAAATACAGTTACGCATGTATGTCTCATTCTACATATTTTGGAGGCGCGTGTGAATGTGGGATTTTGTATTTCCATACGCTCGATATGCATATATTTGGGGCGCTTTGTATATATACAGTTGTACATTTTTAGGTCTCACACAAGGAAATAATTTCACTGTATGTTACTATGTAGCTTTAATTAAATTAATTAAATAATTAGACTCTCAGCAGATAATTCATGAAAGAGAAAATAAAGATTAATGCTGAGACAAAAATTTGAGATCAGAAAAAATACGCCTTATGCGGCTTTTAAGAAAGAAAATTGAGTGTAAACATACCTACCCTGAAATACACGTGGGTTTCACATGTTGACAAACAGCCTACACACCATCCAGGAAGTTGCATCATGCGCATCTAAAAAAAGAGTTCCCTGTAATTCAGTGGCACAATTCTGCTAAAAATATGATATTCCTAGTACCTGAGTCTAAAATTAAAACTGTAGACCTAAAAAAAGTTGCCGAAAATGAAAAAAGAAAAAGAAATTGTCTCTATATATATAGAACTACAATTGACTAAGTTCATTTTGATTGGCTATTTCCTTGCGTAAGACCTTTAAGACAACTAAAAGTTAATGAAATTAAATGAAATTTGCATAAAATGTCTCTTAGTTATTTATCTTTCATATACCAGTGCGTCAAAATTTATCTTTGTCCTTAAGGGATGAAAAATAGGAGATA